GTCTCATGTATCCCAGGACCGGCCTTGAACTCACTGTTACAGCTGAGAAAGACCCTGAACTACTGATCCTTCTGCCTTTACCTCCCAAGTGCTGGGGTTATAAGCATAAGCCACCATGCTGGGGGTTATGTAGTGCTAAGAATTGAACCCAGAGCTTCACCAATGGTAAGTACTCTATTAACTGAATTACATCCCCAGTCCCAAAAAATGTTTCTATAATTCATTTATTTTTATTATTAGAAAAAGAGATGATAAAGAAGCCACTAAAATGCTTGCTTTATGTTATTGTTGGGAAATGTTTTTCTCATTCTTGTTACTGTATGTCCTTGGGTTTTGTGTTTCTTTTTATTTTTTTTGTCTTTTTGAGACAGGGTCTCTCTGTAGTCCCAGCAGAGCTGAACTTACTATGTAGACCAGGCTGGCCTTGACTCACAGAGATCTGCCTGCCTCTGCCTCCCGAGTGCTGGGATTAAAGGCATGCGCTAGAGGGAGGCAGATCTCTGTGAGTTTGAGACTAGCCTTGTCTACATAGTGAGTTCCAGGCCAGTTGGGGAGACCCTGTCTCAAAAATTCTCCCCCCCAAAAAGAAAAAGAAAATCAAGAAACTGGGAATTCGTACAGCTGAAAAATTAAGTTTAAGATGGAAACAGATGAAAAGAAGAAGGGGAAAAAGTAACATTAAAAAAAAAAAAAAAAGCTGGGCTTAGGCAAGGCATTGTGACATGCACTTTTAATCAAGCCCTTGGGAGGCAGAGGCAGGTGGGTCTCTGTGAGATCGAGGCTACCCTGGTTCACATTGTGACTTCCAGGTGGGCTATGACTAGGGAGACCCTGTCAAAAAACAATCAACAAAAAAGCAAAAAGGAAAAAAAAAAAATCTGGGCTTAGTGGTGTATATTATATCTATACTTGTAATCCCCAGCATACTGTAGGTTGAGGCCAGAGGCTCAGGCATTCAAGGCTCAGCATACTCTAGGTAGAGGCCAGAGGCTCAGGCTTGGACTGACTACCTGAGACATACCAGGTATGTCTATAAGGCACTAGTGGCCTTATCTGTGAGAAAAACTACTCATCACTTTTTAAACATGAGTTTGTTCTATTTGTAGAACAGGTTTTTTTTTTTTTTTTTTTTTTTTTTTTTTTTTTTTTTTTTTTTTTTTTTTTTTTTTTTTTTTTTTTTTTTTTTTTTTTTTTTTTTTAAAAAAAAAAAAAAAAAAAAAAAAAAAAAGAGGACGATAAATCTTTCACTGTGATATATCAAAATAAGCCACCACGCCCGGCATGTAGAAATATAAGTTTTCTAAATTTATAAATATAAATTATTCTTATATGTGTTTTTCCATTTGTAGTAAATTAGCCCTATTTAGGATTATAACATTAATTTTCTTTCAAAAATTTTTATTGCTTGTGTGCTCATGTGTGTACGTGTATGTGTATGGTATGTGCATTTGTGGGCACATCATGCCATGGTGCTAAAGTGGAGGTCTGAGGATAAGTTTTAGGAGTCAGTTTTCTCCTTCCACCCTTTACATTGGGTTCAAGGGGTTGAACTCAGGTGGTCTGAGCCATCTCTCCTGACCTATAACGTTAATTTTCATACTTGTTAAATTTAATGTTTAAAATAGTTTTTGTGAGCTGGGCATGGTGTCGCCCACCTGTAGTCCCAGCACTTGGGAGGCAGAGACAGGTGAATCTCTGTGAGTTTAAGGCCAGCCTGGTCTACATAGTGAGTCCCAGGACAGCTGGGGCTACAGGGAGACCCTGTCTCAAAAAGATCAAAAAAAATTTTTTTTTTTTTTTTTTTTTGTGAAGCCGGGTGTGGTGGTGCACACCTTTAATCCCAGTACTTGAGGCAGAGGCAGGTGCATCTCTGTGAGTTGAAGGCCAGCCTAGTTTACATAGTGAGACCCTGTCTCAAACCCCTCTCCCCCAAAAAGTTTTTGTTGTTTTGTTTTTGGGGTGTGTGTATATGTGTGTGTCTAGAAACTTTAAAAAAATTCTTTATTTAATAACCACATGATTAGAAGAAGCATTTCATTACAGCATTAACATATTCAATAACAATTTCCAGAGCAAAGATGCATCTCTTTCAGTATTGGCTGTGTTAAGGTTCAGATAGCCCCACCCCCTCGCCAAGAGGGCCTCATGAACTTCACAAGGCCCTGAGAAAAGGGAACCCAAGTTGATAAGCACCCTGGTCTTTGATGTCAAGAGAAGCAGACTTTTCTCCACTGTTTTGCCAACACAGCAAGCTTCCCTTTTGATCTCTAAAGGGGGCAGGTTTTAACAGTGTCCTGCCCCCCCCAACTTGAAAAAAAATTTATCTTCCTGCCTTCTGCAGGAAGCAGAAGTCTCCCTATATAAAAAGACCCCAGCTCAAGACCTGGGGCAGACATTTTCTCTTTCCCGAAGGGAACATGTCCCGTTTGAAATAAAACTATCCTGCTGAGAGTTTTATCTGTCTTGGTGCTTTTTCCCAATCAACTCTATCCATTCTCTGGCTACTTTATCTATCAGGCTGTAAATTTTTAGGTTCACAGTTGAATTAATATAGTTATACAATATTGAACCCTATAAGACATAATATTTAATGAGGTTTTAACCCTTATAAAAGATCTCCATTTCACTTTAAAATACACTGTTTCATACAGAAACTCATTTTTTAATGCTACTAACACTTAGATGTTTGCATATGCGTCTCTAATCTCTATGTATCTGATTATTACTAGTCACAGTTGGTTACTTTCTGAGAGCCACCTGAGCATGGATATAAAATCATCGGGTAGATTTCAATGGTAATGTGTTTCACCTCTACTAATTAACATGGAGCAAATTTTTATGCTTCTTCCTCAAATATAACTCATTTTTTTAATTTGTTGAATTTTTGTATTTCATCCCAAACAGTCTTATTCATCTATATACCCATATCCCAAATGGCACCCTCCTATAGCCTCCTCCCCACCCCCCGGCCCCCACTGGAGCCCATATACTCTGTAATCCCTGTTACTTCCACTGTGTTGTCAGCGCCCCCAGCCATTCTCCAGTGCTTGTCCATCCGCTGAATCTAGTCAGCCTATCTAGAATTCCTTGTTTTAGGAAGATCAGCTCTTCTCATCTAGCAGAAATCAGTTGCCAGTATTCTTTTAGATAAGATTGGGGTCTGCTGTCCATTTCCCCAGTTCTATGCTGGGTTACTGTCTGGGAGTCTCTTGGGCCACCCTGGCCAACTGTTTCTAGAAACTTTTATTTTATGTGTATTTATACGTTTGCGTGTACGTGTGTGTGTGTGTGTACCACACTCATGCAATGTCCACACAGGTCAGAAAGATGGCATCAGATTCCTTGGAACTGGAGTTACAGTTGGCCATGAGCTGCCATGTAGGTGCTGGGTACTGAACCCAGGCACTCTGCAGGAGCAGAAAATACTCTTAACCACTGAACCATCTCTCTAGCCCTTCAGTATTGTTCTTAATCTGTTTGTGAGTTAGATCTTAGTGTACCTGATGTTTTTACTTTTAAATTTTTGAGTATTATGTATGCATGTTTGAGAACATTTGCAGGAGTCAGACTTGGCAGCGGGCACTTTTACCCACTGAGCCATCTCACTGGTCCCACTTTTATTGTCTAGTTGTTGAACATCTTTCTAGATGGGGCATTAGATTTATTACCTTTGGTTTTTAATTGTTGTGAGTGCATACATTATAATGACCTGATATGGATCAACTTCTTTAAATGACTTTTAAAAAAATGACTTAGGAAATGGAAAGAGATAAACCAGCATTACCTGGAATTTTTTTTAAGGCACATAATAGCAGTAATAGCAATTCTGATTTGCATTCTCTTTGCCATGCCTCCTTGGACTCTATGGCTATGGTGTGTCAGCATTATTAAAGGAATTTGAGGTAGCTTTCAGATGTGTTAGTTTACCTTACAATACAAAAAGAAATTCACCTGCATAATACTTACTGTTTTAAAAATTGTTTTCAGATTATTTATGGGTAATTATGTTTTATGTAGCAATAAATTACCACAAATTTCAAATACATATTGTGTCTAGGAATAAAATGATTTATTCTCCTAAAGTGTCAGGTTCGACCAGTACTTAGAGAAATAGTTGGTCATTAGAAAAGGAATTCTGAACATGGCACCTTTTTCTTTAAGAAAACATTTAAGGGCTGGAAAGATGGCTCAGCAGTTAAGAGCACTGGCTGTTCTTAGGAGGAGGACCCGGGTTCAATTTCCAGCATCCACATGTTGGCTAACAGCCGTTTGTAAATCCAGTTCCATGGGATCCAATCGATGCCTTCTGACCTCTGTGGGCCTTGCACGACCCGGGTGCAGTTACACACATGCAGGCAATACACTTCATAACACATAAAATAAAAATAACAAAGAAAATATTAAAAAAGAAAAAGAAAACATGTAAATCACCAGGTATGGTGCTCTGTATCTGTAATCCCAGCACTTGGGGAGACTGAGGCAAGAGAACAAAAAGGTGAGGCCAGCCTGAGTTATATAGCAAGAACATGTATTAAAAAACAGAGTTGGGCATGGTGGCACATGCCTTTAATCCTAGCACTCTTGAGACAGAGGCCGGAAGACCTCTTTAAGTTCAAGCCAACCTGGTCTATAGAGTGAGTTCTAGGCCAGCCAAGTGGAAGGCAAGAAGGGCAGGAAGGGATAGCAAGTACTAAACACAAAAGAGAAATTCTTGAATAAAAGCTGTTTTGGCATGCCGGCCTCAGTAATCAAGTTGCTGTTAGGCCACTACTTTCTTGCAGTGTACTCAGTAAACTGCTCTTTAAAAAACAAAACAAAACAACACGTTGATTGTCTTCACTCTTAATTACTTCTGTTTGTAGAACCTTCATAAAATGCATTCTTTTATGACCAGTATCTGAAACTTGCTGGGTTTGCCTTGCCTGCATTCTCATCTGCCTTCATTGTAGGTCCCCTCTTTTTTTCTCCTTACTCGAATTAATCCTCTACCTACTTCACAGGCCGGTTCTTTGATGAAAATGAATCCCCTGTTGATCCGCAACATGGCTCTAAACTGGCGGATTACAATGGGGATGATGGTAACGTAGGTGAGTATGAGGCAGACAAGCAGGCTGAGCTGGCTTACAATGAGGAAGAAGATGGTGATGGTGGAGAGGAAGACGTCCAAGGTGAGCTTGGGCCTGGCCTCCATGCTGTGACAGTGAAACTCACCTCTTTTTGGTTGAATTTGTGTAGAATTTCCCCCTACTTAATAGTAGCAGTATCTTATTTCAAATAAGTTCTGTATAGTTTTCCAGTTTTATTTTGAAAACTATATTATAATAGAAGTTTTAATATCTATCACTAATTTTAAAGGTTTTTTTTTCATTTTTAGATTATATATATTATTGATGTAGTTACAATTTGAAACTCAGCATTCTCAAAATTTTAGCATTATTTGAAATGTCTCTAGGCATTACTTAAGGCAAATACTTCAAGAAAATATTTTTTTTTCTAATCTTATATTGGAAAACACTATTTTAAGTATATACAAGCATTGCCCAGCCTTTTTGCTAAAGCACAGTCACAAGGGCATAGTCTCCCTAATGAAGATAAACTACCACTGATAGAACAGGACTACTTTTGAGTGTCTTGAGACTCTTAAAATTTATATTTAATGATCATTTTAAAGATTTATCTTTATGCTTAATACACAGATTCAACATATTTTTCTTGTTAAACTGTGTTACTTCTGAGCTTGGCACATAGTGAAAGTTCAGAATCTTACCTGTGTGCATGTGGCCCAACCCCTGCATGCACATCAGAGTATACTGCTATATCATAAGTCTTTAGGCTTGTTTTCTGCCTGCTTTTATTGTTTAGTTGTATTTGTGGCATTTTAAAATCTTTCTATGAAAGTTGATTATGCTCTTAGGGTGTGAAGTATAGAATCTTTATAATACAATGCATGAAAGTTTTCCACTGTTTTGATTTTATAGCAATTCCATTTTTACTTAGGTTCATGACAAGCATTGTTTTTAAGAAAACTCAGAAAAATATATAGTTGGCTTAGAATTCTATATAGTTAGAAAAAAAGGGAGAGATCTGACTCCCACCTCACCATAGTTTGATGGTGCATTCTCATTTGGGGATAAATATAGTTATTAGTTATAAAAGAGATTAGTAAGTGCTAGGAGTTGCAAAAGGACATGATCTCATTCCTTTTTCATAAATTTTGGCTTTTCTTACTGCTTTATGATTTTGGATTACATTAATTTGCAATTGTATATAATACTTTATGGCTTTTTTTGTGCATGTGTATTGTACCACCAATTAGATTGTAAGCTCTTAGAGGGCAGGAATTTTCATTTATTTTTTCTTTTCATTTTGTGTCCTTTTCATACCTGCCTTCCTACAGTACTGTGTACTTAGTACCCACAGTAATGTGAATTTCCTGCGTCTTTCATCAGGTGTTTATTCTTAACACTGTGTGTAGGGTGATAGTTTTAACTTCTCATTGTATTAAGCTTGCTTTGTTTGCACTTTGAATAATCTAGACTTTTTTTCTTAAGGATTTCTCTTATCATTTCATTGGATAATTTTGAGGTTTCTTTTAGAGCAGCTAATTTCAACTATTATTGACAATTCTTGCAATTTTTGACTGACTTAAAGCTGATGATTTTATCACAAAATTTCAGTTACTATTCCTGTGGGTTTATGTACAACACGTGATACCGTGCACCCATTCGCCTTTCCTTATCCTCTCCACACCCAATTCTTATTACTGCCCTGATAATCTTTTCACAAGAAAATAAAATTTATTGGTTCTAAAGAATGTGAAAGCTTAAGATGATATTTTTAGTGAAGTAGGAAAATATTAATGCATAAATAGTAAGTTAGTAAACTGTAGGAAAAAACCTTAGCATAGCTCTTCAGAGCTTTCATTCTGGAGCTGAACAGCTTGGGTTTGAATCCTCGCTCCATTACTTGCAGCTGTGAGCCTGTAAATTACCTTTGTGCCTTATTTTCCACAAGTGTAAAAAGTAGAAATAAATTTATTTACCTAACAAGAGTTATGCAGATTGAATGATTTAATATTTTTTGGCACTTAAAATGCATATTTTATACTATAAAGCACCAACTTAAGTGATTGTTGAATAAAGTAAAAAATCATTTATTTATTTATTTATTTATTTATTTATTTATTTATTTAT